TTAGTAATCAACAAAGAAAAAATTTCGATGTGCATTAGGTTTGTGATTGAAATGTAGCATTTATAGACATATTTGCATATAGAAGGATTAGCTTTTAAGGACTAAATACGTATCACATCATTGTGATGTAAAAGGTGATGTGGTTTACTGAAGTTCTTTTGTTGACCAGTTGTTTTGGTGGTATTTCATAGAGTTTTAGCGCGCCAGAAAAAAGTTAAGGATTGTACTTTTGTTGTAGTTTGAGGTTTGAACATGACCCTTGTAAGGAGTGCGGAGGAAAAGGTGGGTGGATCTAATCCCATTGTTGAAATTATCGTAAGGCCATCAGCTGAGCTATATTATATTCTGGCAAATGGTGTCGAGTAGGTGTCTTCACTATTGTCTCCAAATGCACAATTTTAGGAGCTGATCATATAAAGTTGTATCAAACAAGAAGCGCATTAAATGCAATATACCGCCCTTCTCAGAGAACGAAAAAAAGTCGAAAACCATTTCACGTCTCCATGAACGACCTCATCCTAAGTGTGCATTTGCACACATTAGCAGAAGTCTACCTTACTCTCTGTCGGTTAGTACAGTGTCCTTGAGTTGGCAAAACACTTGCGCGTGAAAATGGCCATAGAGCGCAAAATTTTGGCAATCTGACCTAAACCTGAATTTCCTTCTGCGGAAGTGTTGCCAGCAAGCAAGAACACTAAATTAACCGACGGATCTACAATTGTATCCGTACGACTTTCGCATTAATCGGGATTTTCTGGCTTGAAGTACATTCTAATCTAATAGATATTAACGTTTAGTGTGTCTTTGAGTTGGAGACAACACTTGCGCGTAAAAGATTAGCATGGCGTGCAAAATTTGTACATGTTTAAACTGCAACTTTTCTGTGCTAATGTTACCGGCACAGCAAGAATCATTATCAGTCATTCAATAAAACATCCAAACAGTCTTCAACTCAATCCGGGCTCTCCAGCTTGAGTCGTATTCTAGTTAGTAGATATGAGGAACAGTATAGTGTGCTTGCGTTGGCGGCAACACTACCGCGTACAAAATGGCTTTGGCACGCCAAGTTCAAAAGTACGCGCAACTGTTGCTCTCACCGCAAGTGCATCATATGAACCGAAAGATCTACTAATTGTATCCGTACAGTTTCGCCTTAATCCTTCGGCTCCCCGCCGTCATCGTCAATGAGGTTCTGCGGTAGCGGAAGAAAAATGAGTTCGGCGTCAAGTTGCAATGTCGGGGCTGCACTGTTCAACGTGCTGTTCGCCGTTATTAATGGCACTGGCACGCAAGTTGGCGACGACAAATCACCCCCCTCACATTGCCTCAACCTCAGTGTTATCGTCCCGAGTCACTTAACCACCTTTGTTCGCTTTAACGAGAAGAAAAAGCGCTCTAGAAAACGTCTGCTTAAAAATTTCTCCAGAAATTCATGCACGCGCATCCGTATTGTACAGGCAATGCAAAGAGACGACGTTTGTCTATGTTTATCCATTTTTTTCGCTGTCACATGCGAGCACAAATGCATGAGCGATTTTATTTTGATTTTCCTATGTGTAGAGGGCGACATGATGCATGGCAAAAACTCTTTTCCATTTGCTTTATATACACATTACTACATGTCGCATAGACGTCGCTCCATTTCTTATTCTCACTCTTCGAAGGGAGCGCCTCGAAATGAACGCTTCTTCCACTTTTGTCAGTGAGTATTCAACAAATCTTTAAAATGATGGTCCTAGGCCCTAGTTCTAAACGCCTGCTAATGAACAGAGGTCTGATTTTTTGAAATGTCTGAATCAGTAGCGGGAACTCCAAAATGAAAAGGATTCAAAGATCTTGTTTCGTTTCGTTCCTTTTGAAATTTATGCAATGGATTTTGAGCCTTTGACTTTCTCGAGAACAAAGGAAAATCATGATCTCAAAACTTTTGATCACATTCAATTACCGAACCTTTACATCAATTATATAATTTAGTCAAAAGTGATCTCACTACGCAACCCTTTCTCACAATTTTCTGGAGTTACCTTTCATAAAATTTACCTACCTTTAACTCTCTACCTATTTGATAAAATCTACGTATAATAACTCTTCAAATAGTTTCTTTCTATCACAAATCTTAGCATGAGAGAGCTAAAAAACGGAATATATTCTTATTTGCAGCTTCCCAAGCATGATATGTACCTTGTAAGTTTTAACGCTGAGATCGAGCTTACAATGTTTTTCGAAAGCTCGGAGCAAACATATCTCTTATTATTATTCTGAAGTATAATTCATCTAACAATTTTCCTTTCGTGATCAGCTTTAGCTCAACGCATTATCGAACTACATAGCTGATAAAATTTTTTTAATGGTCAATTATCGAATATTTGAATATTCTAATAAAGCGGCTACTTTTTAACGTAATAATAAATTTTAGTTCATCGAATTTTAATATCGTCAAATCAAACAAACTTCATTTTAATATCATCTACGACTATGAAAGGGTACAAAATCGAGTGCGCAAAAGTAATTTTAGAGAGTAAATCTTGTGCAATTTTCTAAATTAAGTTTACCTCTATTCGAATTTACAAATTAATGTTTATAACTCAATAATTTCTGTACAACAATTCGTAAAAGTGTTATTTTGGCTTGTACATCACTTGCGATTTTCAGCGGTACGAGCTAGGTGAGTGCACTTTGAAGCACCTCACTTGTTGAATTTTTAATGAGAGAACACCACTTGCTATGATTCCCTGTTGCAGTTATGTTCTTTGCCTTATAATCTTCTTCATTCTCTTATTTTTCCTTTTTTAAAAAATTGTTTTCTTTTCTATTTGGGCCCTCTAGAAAAAAGAAGGTGTGCAACCAATAACAAAAAGAACAGTTTGTCTCCCTCTTTTGGAATTTTTACTGGATTTTTCCTTCTGTATAATTTAGTGTTTTGCTTAGAGATTGTAAATTGTTTGGAAAATTTGTTTATTTCATATTTTGTTTGGTCATGCTCTAATTTCCGTCAGAGAAAAGAAGTTGAACAATCCTAACAAACTAGCACATCAGCTTAATCTCCTTAATCTCAAAATTCATAATATACTAATTTTTCCTTAGTGCAACTTCCGGGTTTTGTTTGGCAAATGTAAGTTCGATCTCTTTTGATGTTCCCAATTTCAATAAAAATACTCCAGGAATTTTCCATGTACTGTGTTTTCACTTTCATGCTGTTCCATGACTGACCAGTTGAAACCGGTCCGAGATTTTTCTCAACACTAAAAAAACCACATCGGCATGAGGAAGGAAACCAGAATTCGAAGAGGTCACAAAGCCAACTCGACCGTCGTCGCTTCTGCCCCCCCCCCTTCCATAGCCCTGTCCAATCAGTTTAATGAGGCAAATGTGGGGCTGGCTGGCTGAGAGCGCGATGGCGTGAAAAGGTGCGAATGTGCCATAGAGGTGTGTACAGCAGCAGGGGGCGAACGAGCGAGGGGCGACAACGATGTCGTGCTTGATGGCGGATGCGTGACTCTTTTACATAAATGAGTATATCGAGTTTCGGACTCAATTATTCGAATTATTTTGTGGGGTTTAGCCGTGGCACATGCGACGTGCACGGACGGCGCCACATACACACATTCACTCACGGGCCCCGAACTGCTATAATGTCGAAGAGTCGCGAGCATCAGCATCAGCAGCACTGGGGCTCGGCTCCAACCAACATTCAATTTTCATGACGTTTTTCTCAGTGTTCATCTCATCATACCACCTCCAGCATTTCTCGTTGACGAACTGCCCCACATCCGCACTCCTCGGCTAAACTCACCCACAATCGTTGCGGGATTCTGGAGCGGCCGGCATCCCGCCGCTGAACTGGTAGTTGTCGTGGAATCGAGACACTGTTTTACGTTGTGAAACCAAGTTTTTCATTTGCAACGCCGCGCTCAGTGCGGCAGTTTCTCACCCGCTTCTCATTGTATCGACCTTGCCCTGAACTACCTTGGATCATTCTTCTTCACACCTTTCCACATTCCTTTGCTCCTAGTCTGTTGGGCATTTTGGCTACAGTCTCTCATATTTCCTTGTTTTCCTCGGAAATAGCTCTTTTACGTAGTCGCATCCCTCAAAAAATTCAAAAAAATTGGTGGCCCAAAATTCTGTCGGAAGCTAAAGATCACAGTTTTATGAAGCTTATGCATCACCACTCACTTCCGGAAAAAATTTATTCGCTAGTTCAAATGGCTAATATTTGCCTAATCGAACGTCAGGATTTGCTCGAAGATTATTTGAATAAGTTGATGAGCAATTTAATACCACGAGAGATAGAAAGCCATTCCAAACAAGCTTAATCTCTTTCTATTCTTGAAGAACTTTCGAAGCCGGACCTGGGCTGACTTAATGAGTGTTTCCTCTTCTTCTTTACTGTTTAGAACTTGAGTGCCTTCGTCATTTGTCTTAGGCGTGGCAGGCCTTTGGCATAATATAAATGAATAAATAAAATTTGTGTTAGTCTTCCATGCCCATAAATCTTTATTCTTTGTAGCATTATTTCTATAGTTAAAGCGCGACATCAGATCGCCCTAATAAGGTCATAGAATTCAAATTAGAGCACGACAACTCACGGTGTTAATTCTCTGCCCCCCCCCCCTACCTCCGTAACCAGTAATACGACTACCATAACCATAACACTAATTTTAAGCGTAACCACAGTAGTGATGACGGCTATCTTTTCGCGCATGTTTCGGCTGTAACATCATTAATCTGCTGAATCACGTGCGTCAAGAAAACTCTAGTGGCAATATAGCACGCGTAGACCTCGTTGTGTTGGTCCTCTTCTCGTCCCTGTCTAATTTCGAACTTCAGGATTTGCTCAATATTGTGCCTTGTCTGGATAAGTTGATGAGAAACTCAAATATGAAGCGCTACGAGAGTTAGAGAGCCATTGTGTGCTGCATCTACGTTCATATGTCCCAATTTCTCATTTTCTTCGCTTCCCTTTCATAAACCGACTGACTAATTTTCCTGAATATCAATTATAGTTCTTTCCATTTCAGGAAATTCTTAAAACAATAACGGAGACGACGGCGCGACAAACGGAAATGATAAAGTGTGCGGCATGCGCACACCCAATCCTTGACCGTTACATGCTACAAGCAGATGGTCGCCTATGGCATGAGGATTGCTTAAAGGTGAAGAAATGAACTATTACTATATAACAATTCATATCTCAAAATCCAAAAATGACTCTCAAGATTCGAGAACTTCCGATGAGTTTTCGTACAAAAGAAAAAATTCCTGAAAATTCTCCGATGCTCCCATAAAACGTTGCTATATCTGTTCGCAATCATCTGTCTCGGCTAACGCTTCCTTTATTGAATTCCTCACTCTGATGTGTTCCGAAATGATTGCCAATCACGACTAATGCCGTTGTTTTCTTCTGTATGGGAAGCCGAAGATGTAAGTCAAACGTCGAACCTTCCCAATATTATTTTACTTTATGTTTATATGTGGCAGATACGCAGTTCACGCCAAAGCTGAATTATTATTCCACCTTTCGCAACACGTCTTCTCAAAAAATTTGTCATAATCAAAAGTCGACCTGGACTGTCGAAGTCATAATCACGAATCTCTTACAATACAGCGCATTGTTCATTTTTTGATTAAGAAGAAAACGATTTATAATTTGTCTAAGAAAAACCCATAATCAAAACAAATTTTTGATCGAAATATTTTCTGAGGTTAGCTCTGAATTGTAATTTCATCTACGATGCCATAAAAATCACTTTCTTAATAAACAAAAAGACCTACCCTTTTCCCTCTTCTTTTTCAATATATTAGGTGGGTGCAAAAGTTCTTGCGCCGAATTTTCAAAAAACCATAACTTCCTTCCTTCTTGGTGGAATTTTTTACATTTATTTCTGTTTGAAAGAGAAAACCTTTTTCTTTATAGCGGTGCCTTTGCCATGAATTAGCGTTGGTAAGTTCGAGAGTTAAAAGCAATTGAAGGAAATTAGTCAAGATCGACATTTTTTAAGCTGGGATCACGAAAAATTCTGCAAGCTTGAAAACGTCACAGAACAGGCGAAAAAGTCATAAACATGGGTTTTGTGACCTCCCCTTTCTAGCTGAGCGAAAATCGTGCCAATCGGGAGCAATTTTCATTTTCGTGAAAAACGCAGACCCGAAACTCTGAAAAAATCACGAAAATCAAAATTGCTTCCGATTAGCTCGAAACTTGCTCAGCTAGAATGAGAAGGTCACAAAACCCACGCTCATGACTTTTCCGTATTTTCTGTGACGTTTCTGGGCTTTGTTGACCATAATCAAAAATTGCAAAACTAAAGAAATTCTCTTTAATTGCTTCTAACTCTCGATCTACTTCGTTTTAATCAATGAAAAAGGTACCACTGTAATGTGCAAAATTTTCTCTATCAAATAAGAATACTTGCAGAATTTTTCGTGAACCAGCTTGAAAAATGTCGATCTTGACTACTTTCCTTCAATTGCTGCTAGCTTTGGAACTTTCTAACGACGCTTCACAGCAAAGGTACCGTTGTAAAGGGAATGGTTTCCTCTTTCAGATGAAATTAAAATCAAGAAAATCCATGGAGTGGCAAGGAAGTTATGGTTTTTTGAAAATTCGGCGCAAGAACTTTTGCACCCACCTAATATATTATACCATTTGATTGATCTTTCAGGATTGAATAATATCACCGTTCCGTTGTTGCCAGAGCTGTTTATTACTCTCTGGTTGACATTTGCCTTAAGACCACGAAAAAATGCAGAAAATATGAGCAATGTATGTTACGATAACATCGAATACTTGGAATAAAAAGAACATGTAGTCTGTTGCATTCTATGGAAAGTGGTCTGCGCTCAGAGAAAGGCAAAGTTATCCAAAACTGAGTTGGTGGGTGCATTTAGTTAGTGTTGTTCTTAGCTTCATAATTTCTGAATGCAAAATGACCTCTGGGAAAAAGATAGCAGCACTTTTCAGCTTGCTGTTTTTTGAACTAGTGCATTTTTTTGGAGAAAGATTTGGATTTCTAACAGCCCCTTGACGAGGAACTTCTTGGCATAATCGCGACGATAGAAGATCACAAAGAGAAACTTTCAAATCATTTTGCAAATCATTCTCTGTTTACGCTACAAGGTTCAAAGGATCTAATTTTCTCTGCTTCTGTTATCTGTTCACTATGATCAGGAAATCGTGCTGGACAGAGCAAATTATGTGTAATGAAAGACCTATGATATGAAGAACTATAGTTTGAGTTGCACAGTTTTTTGAGCATTCTAAGCGAAACTTTTTGTGGATTAATTGAGCAAGACTTTCGGCGGCCCAATTTCAAGAAAATCAGGGGAAGATACTTCATGGTCTAACTTCTTCTTTTCCATTAGCTAAGCAAGATGTTATAAGCCAGCATAGATTTGGTAGGTGCAACAGGTGCAACTTACAGTTTCAGATTAAAAGTATGAGTTTATTGCGCCTGTCCGGCGTAGATAGACAGATGAGAAATCTAGCAATTGCTGTCTATTTACATATTTACTTGCTTAGCAAAGCAAACAGAAAAAACGAAATCACACATCATTTCAATGGGTCCCCGTAGCCTTTATGGGGAAGTAATGGATTGGAATGGTATCGAAACATAAATTATCAAATCAGCAAATTCTTACTAATCCAATAAATTGTACCTATGTTCATCTGCTAACAAAAACGGCGCTAAAAGAAAGAAATCAGGCCGCGACTATAAAAGTTTTGAAAACAAATAGTGGAAGCATTCTTGAGAGAGCAGGTTTGAAAGTACCAATAGCGGAGCCTAAATGATTGCAATGTAAGTGCACAATTCAATAACATAGTATTAGAATTGCTAATACTGTCCATCTTTGACATATTGAACTGTACATGCTATCATAACAAGCATTTTGCTTCAGATAGGACTGTGTTGTGCTAATGTCTAGGAAAACTGTGCTCAATGGGATCAAGAACGCTCTGTCATTTTTATTCATCTATTACAACTTAGCAAAAACTCTACAAAAGTTCTCAAATGATTTCAAAAACAAAGCTGCAGAATTAGGAACAGCATAAGCTGTTCTCGCTCTTCGAAAGCGATGTTCGTTGTTTGGAGACTCAGATTTCTTTTGTAAGACACGTTGGGCAGCTCATAAGAGTTGAAAACCCAACTCTTCAACCGTTATTGTACCAAACTCAAGAAGTTGCTATTCTATTTGCGAAGGGTATGATCTAGGCCAGAGGTTTACTGTTATATCTTTCGGCCAGAAATTAATTATCTTTATTCGCAAAAAAAATTCTGATACCCAAACTCACTGGACAATTGTTTCACACTTCGTCTTTCATCACGTACCCTCCCCTCCCTCCCTCTGCAACCTCTCAGGAAAAAGTACGAAGCTAAAGAAACAGTGGATGCTTGTCTTCTACCGTCACTGTTCTGATTTTTCTTTTCTTACAGTGTGCCTTATGCCATTGTCGATTGGGTGAGATGGGCTCGAAATTGTACATCAAACAAGACCTAATGATGTGTGAAAATGATTACCGCCGCCTATATGGATATCGTGGAATGTGTACCGGATGTCGACAAGTCATCCCTCCCTATGATATGGTTATGCGCGCCAAGTAAGTTTTTTCTTTAAATTTTTAGAAAATTCGAAAAATTCTAGAGGTATTCTGACAATATCTGACGAATGCTTTTTGGTTTTTGACAATGTGCGTATTAAAACGCTTTGGAAGAGCAGATCATCTCTGAAAAACCGTTAGACGGAAGTCAAAAATGGTCAGGAAAGATTGGAGCAGACAAGACTGAATATAAGATTTTCACAGGTTCTGATTTGTTCTGTCGAAAGCTGAAAACTCGCAATAGGTTTTGTTCTACGTATTTCAAGCTTACACTTCCACTTTTTAATAGAGTCTGTGCTGATTTTCTTTTCATATAAGAAACAGTAGATTTAGAGGAATAAAAGTGGAGGAACTATTAATTAAAAGCGAGAACTGAAGAATGGCACCGCGGATTATAGCGAACTCAAAATTTTGCAATGGTTCCTATCTCCTGCTTTATCTCTCGCAAATCTCGTTACCATAGCGCGCCTGCGGTACCCACATCACTTGCGCGGGAAAATTTCCAACATAGAGTTTTTTTGGTGTGTTAGATCCCATTCAGTTTCCCAAATATCACTGTAGGTAAGAAGATCTGCGCTCGATGACAAATCTTGTTTTACATACAACAACAATGGGTCTTTCGCATTCTCCCAGCATTTTCTAGCCATACATTGGCTCATTCTTTATTTTTTTACTTTAGCAATCTTAGAAACCCATAGATATTTTAGAACAATCCGAAAAGTGGACTCAAAAAGCATTCGATCAGCACAAGGTTCTCTTGCTTAGGGGAGGCCCATAGTAAATTTAGATCTGCAAACTGTTGCGACCCAACACTTTAACATTACTTCAGATTCTACAAAAATCTAATAAGGTATCCGCTTTGTACCGCTAGACAAGTGTTGAGCATTCGCTTGTTACTGCGCTTGAAATAGCTTCATCTGTGTCGAGAAATCGAAATAACTCGTAGCATAAAAGTCACCATAAAGCGCGAAAAAATCCGGACTTCTAAGCCGGATAACCATAATTTATCACGATTGTTGCTACATGATTGAGAATTTATATAGAGCATAGTGATAGAATTTCGCAGCTAATCGGCTTACTAGAGATTATGATAAATATTTCACACCGAACTTGAAACAGAATAGTTGAAAGTAATAAGTATGGAAAGTTATACTACAGTGCATATATATCTCTGAGACCGTACTTAATCGTTCAGGTTTGATTATATGTACTTCGTGTTTACAATAGCTTAAAACTTTGGAGTCATCGAGGGTACATTTTTAGAACATTTTGAACATTATTCATCAGGAGCTTTTCCTGTTGCGTTGATCCAATTTCCAATATTACTTCATTTCGTTTTGTTTACTCTTCGTAGAGAATTATAAAATTCAATCATTTTGAGTGTACTGCACTTATTTTGCACGTGACCACAGTTATGAGCAAAAGAAACACTTTAGTAAATTGGAGCTGAGTCAGGCAAAATAAGCGTAGGCTTTGATCAACCGCTTCGTCAATGAATCGCAATTATGTTTGGTAATTTCGAAAATTAATTTGCTATTTTTGAAACGTTCTAATGCGAGTTGGTAGAAGTTCCGAGCAACATATTAGATTGATGCAAAAATGGTTGTAGACTATGGGTTCTTGAAGCCAAAAGTGACTTTTCTTAAGAATCAATGAAGATGCAGGGCTGAAATTTCACAGCCATGATTCGTATGCTTTGTGGTAAACAACACCTGAATTGTAGGAATGGGGCGGAATTAAAGGCAGAGTTTGCCAATTTTCAATTTTCGTTTTTTCTCAACTAAAAAAAGGAAATACAGCAAGTGCATAAATGAACGTCACTATATGTCTGCTATGTGATGAACGATTGGGAGACTTGTAGGATTTCTCCGGGCAAAGATCCGATTTCTGAGCTGGCCAAATGCTCACAGATTTTGGCATCAAACTTAGGGGTAGACCAGATATTTCGATAGTTTCTTGGTAGTCACTTCGTAGAGCTTGCTTTGCTCTATCGAATGGTAATTCATTTGTAAATTTGTATGATCACGTGCTGCGGTAGCGTATGTTTCGGCCATAATTTTTGCGTCAACCTAATAATATGTACTAGGGAGAAGCCAAATCATAAAATATAGTGCTATTTTGATTAGGCTGCTCATCTCCCCTCTCTTTTTACTATGTACACGGTGTCCCAAAAAGATGTGCCTATTGTTTGGTTGTTGGTAATTTTCTTGTGATTGACTCTTTCGAGGAGGTTCAGGCAACATTTTGTAAAGCGGGTCTAACTTAGATTTACGGTATGAAGCGATTCATGTCGCTTTTTATTATTGTAAGATTACGTTATGAACTGCAGCACTGTAGAATAGGCCTTTTTTGAAAAAATTCCAAAAAATCTGGAAATTTGTTAGCGAGGCCTTCGGGCGTGCCCACACAACTTTTTACCAGTTTTTCGCGCTTTTTTACCGGTGTAAATCACACTCTTGAAGAACATTGGAAAAACAGTTGTTACCCTAAACCTGGAAGAACTTGTGGAATAAGCCTTACAGTGAGGTGCAAATGTCATACTTAGAATCAGCAACTTCGACTAGTCCGTTCAAGAGTTTTTGGCTTGTTTAGTTTTCCTCCTAAGCAAAAACCGCTTTTAACTTCCGAAGGCCCTTCGCAAAGTTCCCACTGTAATCCTACGGTATTGAAACTGACTAATGATCCGCTTCAATGAAAATTCAAGTTGAACCTCGCTCAAAAAAAAGGGTACCTAATCCTTCTCGAACAATTTATTGACAAGAGATTATAAACAATCAAACAGTAGGCACATCTCTTTGGGACACCCTGAATTATCTTTCATAGAGTCTTTTCAATCTCACAGAGTAGTTAATCACTCACAACCGGAAAGCAAACAAATACTAAGGTAGTGCTATACCCATCTATCCAAGTATAAACGAGTAATTGCATATTCTGATGACTCTTGAGGTGGCTTTCGAAAACTTCGCAGCTAGTTGTGCGAGAGGTCTTGATTCCTCTGATTGAAAAATGTCTATTAAATTTGGCGATTTTCATTTGGGGGAAGGGACAAAAGTTTTTTTTGGAATTAAGGTATGTGGCGTTATCCACGCACTCAAAAAGTTTTAGGGATTTTGTGGCTTCATAACGTTGAAATTTCAGAAAAAAGGCAGCGCTTTTTGGTAGCCACGCTTCAAAAAAATCCATTCGCAAGGCTAATATCAATTTCCAAAAATTTCAGAATTTATTAGGTGGGTCCGAAAGTTCTGTCGTTTCATTTTTAGAAATTTGTAACTTCGCGAAATTTCAACGGATTTGCTTGCTTGTAATTTCATTAGAAAGATTAGGTCTTCCGCTTTCAGCCATTTTTTTGTGGAGCTTCGGTTTTACACTGAGTGCAGAGATAAAAATGGAAAATTAAGACCATGTAAACTTTGACCATTTTAAGTTGGGTCACCAAAAATCTGGAATGCTGCAGAAAAATCTGAAATCGTCAGTACAAATGTTTTTTCGCCTCTCATTGTAGCTGTGAAGAGTTTGTGCTATTTGGACGTCTCTGTGAAAAGTTATGGTTTTCGCGAAAATTGACAAATTAAATAATTTTGGCGTTTTCTATAGTAAACTCGATGTTCATAACTTCTCACAGAGACGTCCAAACAGCACAAGCTCTTCACAGATGCAAAGAAAAGGTCAAAAAACAAACGTACTGCCGATTTCAGATTTTTCTGCAGCATTCCACATTTTTGGTGACCTAACTAAAAATGGTCAAAGTTAATATGGTCTTAGTTTTACATTTTTATCTCCGCACTTAGTGTGAAACAGAGGATTCACAAAAAAGCGTTTGAAAGAGAAAGGATTATTCTTTCTAATAAAATTACAAACAAGCAAATCCGTTGAAATTTCGCGAAGTTACAAATTTTTGAAAATGAAACGACAGAACTTTCGGACCCACCTAATATTTTGAATTCGCCACACCACAGCTACAAGAGTGAAGCAAGCGCCAGTAAGCGCCAGCCTTATCAATGTTTTTTGAGAAACTGAGCTCGAAACGAAAACATATGTAGGAGGTAGACCCAACCCAGATCTCCAAACCCCTTAAAGGGTATGAACTCCCACGCACCAATTTATAGGAAACACATGCTTGAATACTTACATGCACAAGTTGCATGAATTTGAGTTTCAATGACAGGAAAAACTGGGTTTTTGAAAAGTGGCAAACTCCGCCCCTTTTGATACTAAACTTCTCCAACTTCGCCAAATTTTAGCTACATGCTCACTTTTTCTTATCACTTATTTTCACCTCACATTAGATTTTGAAAACTAGTAGATTCAGTGTGTCCGAAAACTTTCTTACTCTTACCAACCTGGTAACATTTCTCTCTGTCCACTTCATCGTGTTTTCGCAAATCCCTTAACTGCTTGGATGTTTCTTCTAAAGATCACGAATCTATAGATAATATATACCGTCGATTTTGCGGAAGGAAGTTTGCAAGTCGATCCATGACTTACTAAGAGTTTCTCCCATCGTGTCTACAAAAGATCTCATAAGATAGTCTTTTAACTGAAAATGCAAGAAACAGCATTGCGATGAAAATTAGAATTTTCACTTTTGAGAAAACTCAATACCTTTTCTTGCAGACGAGATAGACTAATCGCTATCAGACCGTGCAGTTCATGAACTTTGCATTCCGGATCTGCAAAATAGCCCATCAGCAAAAATAGTGCATCACTAACGACAGTGATTGCGCAAAGATATAACGCCTTTGAAACGGGAAAAAATCGATTGGAGTCGAACGAGTCGCTTTCAAACATTTGTTAAAACCACAACTTTTTTTGGCTTAACTCGTCATCAAGGGGATTGTTGTTGATTTACAGGAATAACAGCCTCCCAAACAATTCAGCCGAAACATCGACTAATTGCGCAAAACTCCTGACAACTCGTAACTTTCACCAAAATTTTCACAATCTGATAATCTTTTTCAACTCCAATAATAATTGATTTCGTCCATTGTGGAAGGAACAAA